AAAAAAAAAAAAAAAAACATAGAATTTCACCAAGCGATTTCACCGGGCCTAGCCTCCCTAATGTATCGCAGCACATCCAAGACAAGTATGCGGCGCAAAACATATGATGCACTGCCAGAAATTCAACTGTTGGGTCGGAGCTGTCGACGATTGCGAACACGTAATAAAACAATCGCAATGTTTTCCAGCGTCGACTCAATGACTGTTTTGAACAAGCTTGCGGGGTGCTGTCAGGCATGGGTGGGCGGGGACAACTGGAAGGTATAAAATTCAGAATAATTAGCGTGGACGCTGCCGTGGTGGGAATGGCAGACCTTATAGGATGTATCAAAGATTCAGAAAGTCATTGCTAACGAGGACAGGGGTGAGGACTTGAGTTTTCTCAAAAAACCAGTTAAGTACCCGCTAAGGATGGATTCTCAAAGCTCAGAGCATCTTTTTTTTAAGGGGGCAAAATCATCGAATGACTGCTCCCGCCTGGGTGAGGCGGGAGGGAGTGTCAGACTCTTACTGACTAAAAATCACCCTGTTCCTTCTCCTGCACGTTGAGCCGGAGCCCCGGTAACCCGTTAGGTTCTCCGCGACTTCGAATCGGCATCGGCCCTGTTGGGCCCCATCTGTGGTGGTCTGATCTGATGCCTCTTTGAGGCGCACGCGGAACGCGACGCGCCGTATAAGCCAGAGCGTCTACAATAATGATATTGGCAACAAAGCGCTCTGCAACAACACCAATGAAACACCGAGAAGAAAAATAAAAAATTAGGATCATGAGGTAGAATGTGGGCAATAACATCGGCCGTATGCTCAGTAACCGGACATCGTTCATCACGCTTCAGGAAAAATGTAGCCAAATTTACTCAAGGATCGGAAGGCTATGGCGCTCAAATACAATCTGCTCCCTCCAGGTCATCACTAACAAGAGAAGCTATGGGCCAAGCGTCCAGAGACAATGTCGTAAACGCTTTTCTCGAGTTTATCGCAGTGGTGGAGGTAACTACGCAGGTCAACTTGCGGAAATGCGAAACCATCCTGCAGGGCAACGAGCTAATACTGAACGATAGACTCGAAGCAGTAGGTACCCTAGATATGTTGTTGTCGTATATAGTCATATAGGGTAGGGTATATACTTCGAGTCATAGACGGTACTGTGAGGAACCTCCATAACTCGAAGTATGGCTACTTATAATGCAACTGTAGGATTTTTGTCTCTGGACGAGAGGGAATCCGATCGATGCTGAGTAGTAAAGTTTAAAAGTCCTTGGGATTTCCTATAGTATTGGTTGCCAAGTGCACCAGAATTATGCTGGACGATGGAATTTTAGAGATGGCAAGATCCATTTCAGAATCTGGACCGGACGGCGTAGTCTTTGGGGACTGGCATGCCACTACAACAACTGAAGCAGCAATTGACTTCAGAGGCAAACTATTCTGCAGAATCGGAGGACTAGTCAAATCTAGGGTTCGAACAATGGCGTCCATCCTAATATACAGCTTGGGGGCGCGAGAGAGCTGCCATCGACTAATGGTAGATGAGGCTCTCATGAACCACTTTGGAGCCGTCGTGATGGCCGCCCGAATTGAATAACTCAAGCCAAGGAAGTCCTTCTAATTGGTGACATAAATCAGCTTCCTTTCATTGATAAATAAATAAATAAATGCCCTGAGCACACAGGGCCAACTCGTCCAAGTCGTTCGTGAGGTCCTTCGAGATAAGAAGGTTCTCGCGAGCGATGATCCCAAAATCACTCCCTGACACTTTATACCTACCTGGTACACACTCAGGCAGAAAAGGAATCCCTTAAGAACCAGGGATACGGGTCGAACGTGGGATCACGCGTCCTCATAATACACGAGGCAAAGGGGCTTTCGTGCGCGAAGTGGAACGAAGAAGCATGAAATTCATGAAAGCGTACCACACGCAGTAATAGCAATATAGCGTCACACGCATGGTTGCATCTATTACACAAACAACAATGAAGACGCGATAAGCAAACTAATCAGGAAGGCGGCTGATGAGAGCAAGGGATTAAGGACAACAACCTGAGATTGGCCATCAAACACAGGGACGCGGCGGTTATGGGTGCTGTCTTGGGCGGGGAATGTTGTTTGTGATAAAACGAATGTAACATGAGGAAATGTGTATGCAGAAATCTGTAGGTAGATACAGAAAGTAACCAATTAACTTTTGGACTATTGCATTGTAAGCTCTATCTGAATAAGCTAACGTAGCAAGGGTTGAGGCGTCATGCACACATAAATGACCTACAGTCGGTGGCGCCGTGTTGGGTTGTTCCGTTCCCAATAAAAAGATTGACCGGACCAACTGCTGACACACACGTCATACTCGTGAATGGCCTTCTGCTGGGTCAGGTCAGCTCTCCCATCTTGTTGGTGGGCTGATTTCGTAGGACCGTAGAAATAGAAGTAAATTGGTAATAGTTAATTATTATATATTTTATTCTTGTAGTAATAATTATAGATGCGGTTAATTGCCGTTTGTGACTAGGTACTTTATAAATATTGATTAAAAAAACATAGTAAGAAGTGTATTGAGATACTACAAAAACACGTCATAAGAATGAAGTTCAGTAATTCCATTGAAATATTTTTTTTATTACGGATGGACGGGACGAATCGTGGCGTGCGTTTTTTTAGTTCTAATGCCCCAAAATAATACAAATTGATAATAGCAAATATTTATTTATAAAAATGTATAAAAATTAACAAAAAATCATATAATGTAACAAAAGCATACTCTAAGTTTAAACAGATTTAAAAGCCAATGCACTGCTCACAATTATAGAGTAACATGATTTTATTTAAGTAACTGAAAACAATATTGTGGTTACATTGTAATGGAATGTAAATTGGAATATTGCACAGCAAGCACCATGAGATTGTCAAGTAAATAAATATAAAAACGTCTATATAAATACATCGCTTATCTCTATGATCACAAACATCAAGATTCTGAAATATTTTAATAAAAAAATCAACAATAAAAATATCAACAAGTGTATGAAAAAGATGTATAATAAAATGGAATGTTAAATAACATCACGCCTTTTAAACCTCGAAGGAACAGGCCGAGATCACTGATAGCGAAATGTTGACCAATGGAAATTTTAATATCAATATTTAAAAATGTAGTAAATAAGCTTTCTTATGAACATTATAACATTAGCTATTAATTGCAGACCTACAGATCCTTAAGCAATTGGGATTATACCTATAGGCACTTTATTTAGCACCAAGTTACATATTATATATTTTAGTGCCCCGGAAAGGCGATCAGCAGAGGTGCACATTACATGTAGCACCTCTATTTTCGAGTCCCATGTACTAAATTGTTTGCGTAAAAAATGTGATATGTATTCGGTTAAGTATAGAGTCCAAGTGAAGTCCAGCAGATATTTGGACGATGGTAGCTGGCCTCTCCGTGTATTATCCGAGTTTGGGGATGGTTTCAATGATCTGCCTGTAGCGAGCTAGCATTGGAGTGTAGATCTTGTCGTGATCAGGGTATGGGGTCGCCACTGGTGATACTTTTAGCTCGGAACCTGGAATTTAAAAAGAATAGTAGATAAAAAGGTGCATTGTGTTAAATATCACTAATCCTTAATACGACAGATACTGAGATATTATCTTGTCATCGTTAGGCTACTGTGCGTGTTGTGACACCTTAAAATGTTGTGCATTTAACATATATTACTATGGAAGTACTTAGATATAAGACCTAATGTAGCAATGTAGGTTGTCCAAATTATAAATAAATAGATGTCACTAGGACGCGCCGTTTTCATGGTTGTAAATCCTGGCTTACAGGATTTGTAGCGGTTTCGGGAGGTTGTGGCGGGCTTGTTCCATTAAAAAATCCTTGATAGCCATTTCTATAGGGTTTTGTAACAAAGTATTGATAAGTATTTTTGGAACTATTTTATATAACAAGCTTGTTTATACAGGCTCAGGTTTCATGAAATTTATCCATGTTATAAACAGCAAATATTTGATCTTACTGGTTACTACTACTTACTTGCTCTGAAATTACTGGACTGATAAAAAATTAACATGCACTAACCAGGTAAAGCTATGCCGCTCTCCTTGCTCCATACCTCGGCGGCGCGGATAGCTGCACCTAGCAACGCAGCGTTAGCGTGCTGATCCTATAAGTTATACAATAAAAAATATTCATTTAATTAGAAACTAAACCTTTGATTTTTATAATGTGGATTTCAACCTATATATATGGAGATAAATGCTGGACTATCGACTTCTACAAACGAGGAATTGTCATAATTGTCACGCATTGCAGACAGGTTGGAGATGGGCGCGCAACGTAAACACCAACACTAACGCAGGCACTAGCTGGTCGGCAAGTCGAAGTCGCCACGACCGCGCACGCTGCTCAAGAGTAAGAGTCCATCTTTGACTCGAAACTAGTAGAGCTTTTCTCAGTATTACGTGAGTTTTTGACGTGACAACGTCTTAAATTAGGTTGCGGCTGGGAGTCACTTATGAAAAAGAGTAACACTCAGTAAAGTTAAGATGAGTCACCGAACGAGAGAGAGGCCCGCCGAATGCCTTGCGTCTCTCTCCCACTCAACTATGATCGGTCTGCCGCGCGCGCAGCACTAGTTCATTCAATTCCTTGTTCCTATTGTGCAATTTAATTATATTCATATCAATAAATATTCTACCGAGAAAAAGACGTTGTCACGTAAAATCTTCGCCCGTAAAAACGACTTTACAGGCAACCATTTTTATTTTTTAAGGGGGGAAAAGCCATCGAATGACTGCTCCCGCCTGGGTGGGGCGGAAGGGAGTGTCAGACTCTTACTGACTAAAAACCACCCCGTTCCCTCTCCTGCACGTCGAGCCGGAGCCCCGGTTACCCGTTAGGTTCTCCGCGACTCCGAATCGGTATCGGCCCTATTGGGCCCCATCTGTGATGGCTCTTTGAGGCGCGCACGGTACGCGACGCGCCGTACGCTCGGGAGTATTACGTGAGTGTAATACTCCCGAGCGTAAAACTCTTAATTTTTAGTAAATTCAGGTTGGAGATCGCAGTTTAAAAAGTTCGAGCTTTTCAGACAGCGCTACTTCCCGGTCTCTCGTTAGATAAATATGTCAATATGTGAACCGTTGGAAAATAATCGAGGTGGTGACATATATCTACTCTATAACATAACATAACATCACGCCTTTTATCCCCGAAGGGGTAGGCAGAGGTGCACATCATGTCACTTTTCACTATTTATGTTATGAGTCCCATGTTCTAGGGGGTGAGCCTTACGTTGCCCCACATTAGGATTTTCTCCTGTGTCGTGGGTGCGTTTACAAACATACAAGTTCACATACACAATGACACCCAGACCAGATCAACAATTTGTGGATCACACAAAGTGTTGTTCCGTGCGGGAATCGAACCCGCGACACGTTGCACGGCAGCCGGTTGCCCAGCCACCGCACCAACCATGCAGTCATATAATTGCCATATAACGGGCTGAATTCCAGACTCCGCGCTACTACTGAGAATTTTTTAAAACCCAGAAGTACTTTGCCTGACCCGGGAATCGAACCCGAGACCCTTTGCCCGGCAATCGCACTTGCGACCACTCGGCCGACAAGGCAGTCCTTCTGTATCTAATCTATCTTGAACACATAACAGATAAATATGGTATAAGGCAAGGCAAGTTATTTGGTTACCTGCACGTAGACAGGGGTGTCGAAGACGTCAGCGAATATCTGCAGCAGGTCCTTGTTGACGGACGCACCGCCCGTCGCTATCACGCGGGAAGACTTGTCTGGAAATGTAGAACAATTATAGATAACCACCAAACTGTAAGCTGATTGGTGAATTAACATTTAATGAGTGCATGTTTTTTTTGGAATAGGTCAGTAAACCATTTTAGAGGTCAGGAGAATACCAGCGAAAGGTCATGTCTTGCATATGCTAAACTGGTCCCATTTCACCACAGACTTGGAACATGATAATATACCCATTAGTATGTATGAACTGTATGCGTATAATCTGTATCCCTCTTTTACTTTTAAAATGTCTGGGTTACCATAATAAACGGATTAAACCTAGTGTAAGTATGGTATTGTTACTCCGAGGTTAATCCACGTTTATTAATAGGAATTCAACTCCGAAGTTAATACTTTGTTAGTCCGGTATTAGCTAGTCCAAGACTAACCTGTGATTAAGTTTGGAATAGGAGATTGTAATTAATAAGATCGTATGTGTCTCCTGTTTTTAGCGTGTGAAATAAAGTATTTTCTTTCTTTGTTGAACCAGCATCATCAGCGTTACAAGTGTGTTGCGTTTATTGCTGGCCTTTGGAGATTTGGAAGGATTAAGCCTCCGTTAACTTGAATCACATTTTCTGTGATGCCTTGGCATTGCTTCGGGCGAGTCTGGCCATCCGTGCAGTAACATGGCTATCAGCAGAAGATAGTAGTCTACTATGCACGGTTAGATCGTCATCATCATCATCATCAACAGCCGAAAGACGTCCACAACGGGACAAAAGCCTGCCCCTTAGTCCTCGACGTTGAAAGACAACTTCCCCCCTGCATCCATTGGCTAACCCACCAGTTAGACCATGGTTTTTTTTTATATAATATTACAGATTAATTCTCCACGGACTCTAGGTCCGTGCCCTTGTCATACATTTTTTTTATTATAATACATATAGTCAATTTTTATAAAGTAAAGAGGGTACCTAGTTACACACTACAATTAACCACATCTATAATTATTACCATGGTTTCAAAACAAAGAATAGTGTAGTATACCTAGTTTGAAGCCCATGTCCTCGGCATGCGCCCGTCGCGCGAGGGCCTGTCCCTCTAGTAGCGCGCGTGCCTCGAACTGCGGCGCCGGTCTGTCGAGTCCCCGCCCCGCCGCGTCCACCAGCCAGCGACCCACGCCCGCGCGGGGAACTATCTCCGCTGTGTCGTAGTATATACCTGCAGATTTACACAGAGTTCTATTTATTTAAGGAAATAATTTACAATAAAATTGACTGAGTTTATTATAGGAGAGAGGTTTTTGCCACAATTAGAATGTTTGACAAGTCCCCATACTTATTATACCCTTTATACAGAAGATTGAAATAAATATCGTAACTAAATCTGTCATTAGTTCTATTACTGAGAGTTTTAAAACACCATCGGTATCAACTTTGTTCAACTTGGGAATCGATTATTTGAACTGGAAACCGGCGGCTGGACTTGGTCAGCAGTAGTACTCGCAACCATGTAACACGGAGCAGTAATTATTTATAAAGGATAAATGAAAAATTACGCTATTCATCACTTTAAAGACACTAATGATAATGGTAGTAATATTAAATATTAACTCACCCATATACCCCATATTTCCTCGAACGGTAGCTCGAAGCAGTTCGTTGAAGGCGTCCCAGCTGGTGCCAGCTAATCGGTCACGATGGTTCTGTCTGGTCAGGGAGCCGTTGGCGAAGCACAACAGTGCCATGTAGGGGGCGGCGGGCGTGGGGCCCACCAGCACGTGGCCGGCCGGCGGGGCCGCGGGGGCCTGCAGCCCCAGGAGCAGCGTGTCGCTCGTACCCAGGGACAGACCCACCCAGCCGGAGCGGAGCCGGAGACCTGGGACAATATTATTGTGTACTTTATTCCAAGAAGCATTAGGTTAGATTAAGCTTTAGTCTGTACTTCTATAGTTACTAGATCAGGTACTATTTTCATGGGGGATGAGCATATTCTGTCCTAGTCATGTACTGGGTAGTATTACAGACTCCGTACTGTTATTAGGCATTAAAAAATAATCATATTTTACCCAAGTTGGGGATCCAACCTGGGACCATATAAGCAGTCGCTCGCTACAGTGTTATATAAGTTCGACATACTTGCTATGTCCTGCTTGGGTTATAGTGTACCTACCTATATGTTAAGAAAAAAAAGACTCCCATCATATTATGATAATAATAGAAATAGTTTGTAAAATGAGCGTCTCTCGCCATCAAACGTTAAAGTTTGGCGAGTTTAGATTTAAGGCAATACCTATGTAAAATTTCAATGAATAAATTTGTTAAAAAAAAGTCAAAAACATTTCAAAAATTAAAATACATTCTAATCGGACAATGAAAGTAGGATTTTGTTGTTAAGATAAAAAATATTAACATAATGCAATTTTCTAATACCAAGATATAGCGACACAATTCATCATTTAAGTTAAAAAAAGTGCATTTAAAAGGTATTTTATACTCAACATACAAACTCCATTAGAAATGTTACAAAACAATTTGCCAGTTCGTAAACACAGCAATAATAAGTATGATAAGTTATCTCAGCTGGATAAACTATACATTAAACCGTAGTTACTGATAACTGGGACTTATCAACAACTTGAGAACTACTGATAACTTTGACGTCTTATCTTATTACAGTGTGAGATTTGTTTGTTTGACAGTCTGTTTGTCATATGTGTATAAGTAGATTGTAGTTGTAGCTCTTGAAGACGTTTTAAGTTATTTACATTCTGACTCGTGGGTGGTTAAATGTAGATTAGTTATGTAGATATGCTATTTGATCAGAGAGATATGACATTCAGATTTGGTAGATAGGTTTACAAATAAGAAAAAAAAATTATGTATATAATACGCAAAAACTACTGAAGGGAAATGGATGAAATTTTACACTGAACTAAATTGTACTCTTTAATAACAAATAGGGTAGTTTTATCTCGGTAAACCGCAGGTAGAAGGTATTCACTGTTATGTCACCTGCAAGAGCTGAACAGTTATCCCCAGTGAAGGCGACTACTTTGCAGTCAGGTTTGAACGCGTAGCGACCCACGAAGTAGGGACTGATGGAGCCCACCACCGTGGCACTGGGCACTGGGGCACCCAACTTAGTAGAGAGAGATTCATCACCACATGCCTGAATACATGAAACAAAAGTACAAACTTACAAATAAATCAATTAATTTACCAACTTTTATAATACATAACAACATCACGCCTTTTATTCTCGAAGGGGTAGGCAGAGGTGCACATTATGCCACTGTACGATGTAACACCCACTTTTCACTATTTATGTTATGAGTCCCATAGGAGGTGAGCCTATTGCCATATACCGGGCACAGTTCCAGACTCCGTGCTACTTCTGAGAATTTTTAAAATACCCAGTAATACTTTGCCCGACCCGGGAATCGAACCCGAGACCCCTTGCCCGGCAGTCGCACTTGCAACCACTCGGCCAACGAGGCAGCTTTTGTAATAAAACAGATCGTTTTGTACAAACTTTAAATAACGTAGCAAGGTGTTCTTCCCCCACCCTCAACCCTAATGCTCATTTCTCCAAATGCAAAACAGGTGGACAACTTCTGATGTTAGACATCCGTCGATGGGCGGTACAGATTGCTTACCATCCTTTGATCGGTCTGCTCGTTTACCGTCTTACCGTATAAAAAAACATTGTACTAAGAGTACTAACCTGCAAACACTTTTCATCCCACTGCATAGTTCTGATATCAAGGAGGTTCATGCCCGAGCCATCAGAAAGGTCTATGGGAGCTATCTTGCCGGCCAGTAACGAGCAAGCGAAGGACGATACCAGTGAGATCCTGGCAGCCGCCTGGTACACCCGCGGCCGTTTCCTGAACATCTTACGGATCTGAGGACCCGTGAACCTCTCGTACGCACGAGATCCCGTGATCTTTGCGAGTTCCTGCAGAAAGAAGTTATGAGAGGTAGGTAAACGATTGTTAAATGAAAGCAAAACTTTATCTTAATTACTAAATGAAATAACAGTATTTTTTTTGCTAAAAAATTAAGTAATTCTTCTGCATTAAAATCAGAGAAAAATGTTCCTAAAATAGTGTCTGTATACATAATGGTAAATCTCATACAACCCTACTATTTAGTACTTTTGAGTGTTACTTAAATGCAACAAAAAATGTGAAAATAGCACAAGAAGATTTCTAAATTAATAGTAAGTGTTTTATACTTTTGTATAAACAAATTTTGGGTACAATATATCAACATATCAGGCCTTCACCTCAGGGGTTCCTTAAAATTAAACTTAATATAAAATAATATGTTTTTTTTTTTTGGAAATGTATATTTCTTTTTAATTGGGAAATATAAGGCTTTTTTATTTTTTATTTATTATATAACATATTAAGCTGATATGCAATAAGACTCCACTCACCTCAGCTCCTATAGCCTCCTCCAGCTCCTTACAGTCTACAGTGGTGCTGGAATCCATCCACACAGGAGAATCAGACACAAAGGCCGTTGCCAGCTGAGTGTGTAGGAACTCATCTGGAGACAGTTTGCCAAGCTTTGACTCCGCATCCTTAGACCACCACACTGAGCCATGTTGCTGGAAGGCAATGGTATATTGTCAAGATTTTATATCAAAACAAATATTTAGCAAGAAAGTTACACTATCATTATTATAATTAACATTAGTCTCACCCCCTATTACATGGGACTCATAACATAAATAATTAAAAGTGGGTGTTACATTGTACAGTGACATTAAATACAGTAATGTGCACCTCTTCGGGAATAAAAGGTGTGATGTTATGTGTTATAATAATTATAATCACTGACTACATTGGGTCCAATTTTACAGTGTCTAATTGAGTTACATTGAAACTACGTACAATAGCATTTTGTAGTCAAATATCATTATATTTTAATTAAATAATACCTTATGTATTGTCATATATTAACCCATAAATCACCAAGCGGTCACCGGTGACCGCTTTCCACTAATATTACATTACATTATAGACCTTATTTGTAATGTTTAGAGACTACTTTTGTATGACCAAATTTAGGGGGTGGATTTCAACGGGTTAAAGTTTGTAAATTATGCCATTGTTTATATTTTCCCACCTGTTTCAAGGATAGCATTATATATTATAATTATAATAATATTTTATGGCTGAAAATTCCACAGAATATAATGTTCAAAATGTGGATGTTTATTAAATGCAACATACATTATGTCAGACTGAATATGCCAGTATGAATCCCATGTTATAGATAGAACCGTTCCTACACTCAAATTTAGGTGTCAGGCTATAACTAGAATTACCAAAAAATCTAAACCCTAAATAAATTCAGTTTGGGCTTACCTGTCCCGCTCCAGAAACCGCTTCAATTATAGAGAAGTCAACTCCAGCCACAACGAGGCGGTCCATCACCATGTCTAATGCTTTTACCCATAGTAAAGGGGGAGCGATCACCTCTCCTCGGTCCGTTCCACGTACCACACCTCCGGCCGTCCTAGAAGAGGAAAATAAATGTAAAATTGTACTTTGACAATACTTATAAAACTTGGGTTATTTGACAGATTAAGACTTATCAAATATTTATACAATCATGAATAATGGATTTATTAAAATGTCAACAAGCATGTGTGTGTACTAAAGGTTAACCAGTTTTGGACATTTTTTAAATAGTTACCAATTATTTACACCTGTGTGATAAATGCTTTAGGTGCCAGAAGTTTATTACTTAAAATTAAGTTTTTTGGGTAATTATTTCAAATAAGGGATAGATTTTATGTGGATTAAGTAATTTCTAATTAATTAATCGAAATCTCAATGTTTAGCATAAATGTTAATATTTAAGTAGTCACCTAAATTCCGGCAGGTCCACATCAAATTCCACATCAGCCTCATGCAGTACACCAAAGTCTTCACCAATAACTATGGCTTTCAGCTAAAACACACATAAAACAAGACAAAAGTTAATGGAGAAATTAAATGAGAAAATACTTAAAATTCCCTTGAAAAAAATAGATTACTTTAACAAACAGTGTTTAAATAATGATAACTTGATGGTGAAGTTTTAAAACGAAATATGGAGTATTTCATTGCAGTTTTTATTTAAATTCCCACTTTGCTGAAATATTAAAAGTTTCAATAATTCATACTAATACAATAAATTACTTGTTCAATTTCCGTCGAATGCTCATTGATTTGTTTACTTTTTAGTCAAATATAACTCATCAATCAATAATGAAAATTAAAATAACCAACTTGATTAATTAAAATCTTATCGCCTTGTTTATCTAATTTTACGGAATTAATTAGCGCGTGTAAAATGTGGGTGAGGCAAACATAAAGCCGATAAAAACATTTAAAACAATACAAACTACACGACAATAAAAAAAACTTTAAAAAAAGTTTACGTACCCTTTGTGTACTAAAATCGAATCCCAAAAAAGTTCTTTTTCTTGAATCCTCGGTCATTTTTTATATTTTGACAGCACGGCCGGGCAGTGACACAGCTCTGAGGTGCGTTCAGGAACGCGATATCGACTTAGCTTTCGTGACTGAATGCCGTTTTGTAAAATTCCAACGCGATTTCACGATATCATTATAGTATTTTATTAGTCTCAGCACACAAATTAATCGCTTAGTCGTATGTTTGTTACTATTCGATAAAGAAGCACCAGTAGTATCGCTATTATCTCATTCATGTATTACGCAATCGGCACCCACTTTTGCTTGATTTGGAGATCATCTTATTACATTTACATACCTACATATAGGTGCTATGTTCCATCTTATCCATATATTATACTGGCCATATTTTTATTACGCACCGTTTTATTCTTTCACTTATTTCAAGGCACTTGGCTTCAGTGAACAGTTAAGTAAACGATTGATTTTTATATTTCCGACTAACTTGTTTCCTCCGCTGGTTTAGTTCTTAAATACATCATAATTTTCGAAAAATTAAGTACGAATCCTTCGTCATAAATTCATCTGATAAACGCAAAAAGAATATACAATATCTGAGATCGTAAAGCGCATAGAACGACGTTTGAACCCGATAATCTAAAGAACCATCTTGAGTTAGAGTTCAAACAATAGAATATTCGATTGGATTAAATTAGCGTAGTTTATAAAGTAAGTAACTACTGATAAAAGTAACTATAAAGAGAACATTCCTACAACACATGAAAAAACATACTTACCCACATTAAATTAGAAAAAATATGATTTGTGAACGGATTTCATATTTTAACAAGCTAACAGGAGAGCAGCGAAGCAGATCAACACACAATAAAACAGTTATGTTGCATTGTTGGCCTTTTTAAGCAACATGGCAGTATGAATCATAGCGCGGGGGCCATGGAGGCTTACCTCACAGGTAGGTAGAGCGGGTTCACTGACCTATATAGCTTCAACTAATGACCGGCGTGTGGGTACACATGCTTAATTGAACAAAGCGCCTAATATTAGCTTATGTATATTTTTTAAATTACCTGGTCTGGTCAGCTAGTTTTTACCTGTGGTCGAAGTAGGTTAATCTTTTTGTGGACAATAACTTAATAGTTGCTAAGTTCCAAGCTGTGGCTGAACTGAACTGCACTAAGTATTTGTTGAATTTCACAAGAACTTAATTGTACGTCCATACAATTTTAATGTAGGTAAATGTACCATAATGATTATGCAGTATGCAGCAAAATCGTTGGTCAGACAGCCCAATCGAATACCAAACAAAAATAACTTTAACTTAGGTACTTAGATTTAAGTACGTTCCACGAGATAGATTTCAGCGCCTAAGCTTTTGTTTAACTGTTGTTTAAAGGAGTATATTGCTATCAATATTTTAATAGGCACTGTAACAGCGTTGTAATGCTTCACATTGCGTTCACAAAATTGTAAAAATTCTCATTAATTCTGTAGTGATATGATTCTTAAGGCGGTATTATAAAATACCGGCCCTAACAGATATTCAGATGTTCAATTGGTGGTAGGTAAATAACACCCACTGTGCAAATTCCTATAAGTTTTTGGCCACCCTTTTTCTATGTAGGTACAAGCGCTGTCGATGAAAAGGTGCACCTGGTGACTTGCTAGTATCCCTTCCCTCCTATCATCCTATGTAGGCTGCAAAGATTTGTCTGGACTGACTCTTACTGGCTTGACCACCAATAAATTCTGTCCATTCTAGTAATCTAGCTATACGTCGTGGTGGCCCAGAGGTGTAAGACGCCCGCTTCTCATGCATGAGGAGGCGGGTTCCAAACCTACCAATGGCAAGTAACAATCTGACTTTTTCGAGTTATGTGTACCTGAAATCGCTAACCCGCATTGAGCAAGCATGGTGATTAATGCTCAAACCTTCTCCGTGTGAGAAGAGGCCTTTGGTCAGTAGTGGCCACTTATAGGATGTTGATGTATGTTCAGTTAAAAATTAAGACTATGCACCTATTGATACAGTTCACTATTATTTCGGTGGTAAAATCGGTATGTAGTACGTATAGCTATTTATCCCTATCCCCTATGTAGGTGTGTACCTATATGTTAGTGGGCAAGCGACCTTTATAATATTTGTGCATCGTCTCTTTTAAAACATAAGCAAGCGTATCTAGTTATGTGACCAGGAATTTTGGAGTTGAGGAACAGGGAGTACCATTTCCATCATCTACAGCAAACTACGTTTCTATAAAAATCTTCCACAACGTAGCTAGCTGACCAAAAAGGTAGCACCCACACATACATAGACAAACACACACAGGTTTCCGTGTATGCTTACAAGGGTGGCATGTAACGAAACTAATCGCATGGAAAACCTACACGGGTGGCGAGGCGCGCTTTCGACGTCTATATTTATCTGTGCCACCCCACCGGGGACTGCTTGGACGCGGTGCGCGGTGGGACGAACGTTTACGCCTTTAAACTTCAAATACGTGTCACTTTGCGAACGTTTGATCAAGATAATATTAGTGGAACGCAGCCTTTTGGTGCGGCGTTCTTTTTTTAAACCGCTGTCAAAATCAAACGATGATGGTGTAACTTGGTGAGGCCAAAATTCCTGTAGCGCTGTAGGTACCTACCTAGCCAATAGTATGGTTTATTAGGTACTTGCCACAGTACAAATATTGTGAACTTGTGTTTTCTTTATCCAGCAAACAAACAATTTATAGGTACCTCAAATACATAGGTTCTGCCTGATTGTTGCAAGCCTCAAGCAAAACAGAAAAGTACCTACTTATTCGATTTGTATTGAGAAAATGTATAGCTAACACCTATGTAACACGGATTAAGTATAATACTGTTACATATGTACGTACCTATATAATTACCTACTAAAATCTTATACATAGACTAGACAGTAGTTATACTTTCTCTGTAATTTAAATTAATTTGTATTATAAAAATATTATTAGCAAATAAAAATATTAATATAAACAGAAAACACATTTGGGTCGTCTAATGATCACAGTTAAAACAACAGGTAAAATATATAAAAAGAGAGAAAAACAACGTCCAATTCACAAATGCTTGGAGATTATTCAGTTTGCTGAACATTTATTTGGCAGCGCTTGTAATCTGCCGTTAGTTCGTGCCAAACGCAACAGGTGGCGTTGATCGAGCGCTGCTCACGTTATTTCGCGTCCTTTTTTGTTTTTCGCCATTTCCAGCATCTGTGTGCACTAGTTAATGTTCACAGTGAACTTTTACATTGAATTTGAACGCAATTTTAAGAGGAACTAGGATTTCCTATGTATCTGTATCTGAATATAATATTTTTTAGAGCTGGAATGGAATATATATTTCTCACAGATCAGAAAATTAATACTTTTATAATAATATTTAAAATAACATATACACAAAAAGTAAAGATTACACTCCTTACGAAAGGAAATTTAAAATATGTAATGTGACATGAAAACTTGTAACTTGCTACGGTGTAGCAAAGTCGTAGCACTTTCTACAGACCCGTAGCCTCGTGCTACGAGCCTACGACGATACCATACAATTTAATTTCTTTAAAAAAGAATAGTTATGATGTAACTAATTATGACGTCTAGGAATCTAAAGCGAGATTAAGCAGAATAGCACACATTAAACAAAACCGTACCGGCGGAATTGGGAAGCTCCTCCTTTTCGGAAAAAGTAAAAAAAAATTGTTTGTGTTTTTTCCGAATTGCACTCAGTATGACACGGCCACTTGGCAAAGGGACTACACATCAGAAAGAAACTTGCAGCAGTGCTCTCTGATTAACCTGAATCTATTAAACTATGACCTCCAATGCACCTTGTCTAGCATGGAGATTACTTACAACAATGAACTAACTATATTATATATAACACCTATGGTCTCGAAATGGCCTGCTACCCACTGCACCTACTACGTTACCTGTGGATCAAGTCTAGGACTTCATGCTCAACAGTTATAATGGCGACCTAGACTAGCATACAGTTTTTACGTACATCGGCACAGACTATCTAACATCGTCCTTGACTAAGCTTTTACATAATATTACGCAAGACTTTTAGAAAAAAAAAGTATAGAAAATGTGTGAAAGTTGTCATTGCAAACTTAGTAATATCACGTATGTATGTTATCGAAGGAGAAGACAGAGTTACAATGACGCAACATTCAATATTCATCAGTTTATGGTGAAAATATATAAATACAGTTAAGAACAGACGCAATTCGAAACATTATATGAAATTATAGTCTCTATTTATTTTACCATATTCCTATTACTAAATAATATTTGTTTAATGAGCAAGCTACACATAAATTGAATAGAAATATTTACATATTTGATGTATTATACCATAATTATCATTGTTCTCTAATACTTCATTTACATAGGTACCATAGGTTAGGTAGGGACATGGTTACTCATGGAACAGCATTAGTAGCAGCCTCCGAGACCATCGAAATGGCGCAGAGTTACAATTGCATGTTGTTTATTATAAAACTCATTCGATTTTGATGTCGAAGATCTATTATCGAAGCTTTCTGTTTGCTTTCATATCAGACATGTATTTTGCAGTCAGTTCAGTGTAGACTTGTTGCAAGAGTCGTGTATTTAGTCTATTAGTTCAGTGTAGGCTTGAAGATTAGCCAACGATACAGACTACGAATCGAAAATATGAGTTTTCCTAATTTGTTCTCTTTATTTTTAATTCACTATAACAAATTCAGTACACCAGCATGATGGCTGATTCTCATTGGATTTCAAATATCGAGTGTTGGAATCATTAGTCGAAGATGATTTTTAGTAGATTGGTTGAGTGAGTGTGTGTTGATGTGAGCGGAGTGGTACGTCGGTGTGGTACGCGCGAGTGGCGTCTGGGTGTCGGGCCGCGCCGCGAGGATGCTGCGCCTCTTAAAATTGTAAACAAGAGCTTTTTCGATTGGTGGGCGGCACCGCGCAGGCGTCGCACGACGTCTACTTGTAGCGACGTCGTCTTTATTTAATTTTTCAACAATATTTTGACGATTTCGTACAAATTATCAGTTTATCTGATTTAAAAAAAGTTAAAGTCTTAAAGGTGAACTGTGACTGTTCAGCTTCCAGGAAATCAAAATATCCGCGTAAACACACGCGGATATAATAAACAGTATCATAAACATGGTTACAACTAGCGGTAAGCACCGTGTAGAGTCAGCTGATTCAGGAGCTTAAATAGTCACAACACCTAAAAGATTAGTAAATCTATCATTATGGAATTGAATTGGTAAGTCTATGATGATAAACATTTTTATTTCAACTTCTACATCTAAACTCTACTGCATACTTCCAATGTAAAACGCGTTACTACAGTACAGTTACTGAATGTGTTGGCTGTTTGTGTGCATTCACAAAGTGCAGTCATCGGCACAGAGCGATATGTGATATTTGCTAAGAGATGAAAAGCTTCAAAGTAGGCTATTGTAAGTTGAGGAACGTTTCCAGAGATAAGAGTGGAAATCGATTGTGGTGTGCGGTGTTGCCGCCGGCCGCCGGCACGAGGTCGAGGCTGCGTGCGGCGCTGCGCGTGGCGCGGGCGGAGCGCGGGGGGCGCGGAGCGCGTGCGCGGGCCGGCC